ATGTCCCGTCTCTCAATCGCGGCAAATTGGTGACCCCGACGTGATCCTAAGGATTGGCGGAAGGATCGAGAACCACCTATCTGCRTGGCATGCTGCGAGTCCCACAGRACKTTGAATGAGCTGCTGAAAGGAAGCAGGAGCYGGCCRGCATCAATCCCTCYRGAGWASAGAGGTGAGCTGTGGGAAACATGGGAASTCAGATATCTTCCCCAGAGAGAGACGTTTATGAGCTTATGAAAGCTCTCCTTAAAAAACATGGAAAGAATATTTCTGGGCATGACCTCAAGCTGATCCTTAAATGGGTGCAAGTGAAGGTGCCCACTGTAACCGCGTCCTCTATCTTTACGCGGGAACTCTGGGATGATGTGGGGATGAAACTATGGGACGCAGCAACAGCAGGAAACGCTGAAGCCCAGCGCATGCTCCCCTGGTGGAGGATTGTTTTTGAGACTCTGAAAGCACAAGAGAAAACTCATAAGGATAAAGCAGGGGAGGAGGAAAGATCCCCTCTCACAACTCCCCTGGTGCTGCCGGAGAACGAACCCTTGAGAGTGGGTGCTGCGGGATACCCCCCTTTCGATCCGGGTCCAGTCAACCCTGAACAAGAGCCAGACCTCTACCTGCCTAACCCGCGAGATGTATGGGCTAATATAATACGCCAAGCCTTGAAAGACGGCGAGTTAGAGATTGCAAAAACAATTGTAGCCCCCTTGATTTATCAGGGTCGAAGGGCACGGTGGGAGGCTTTGCATTTCTCGGTAATTAAGGAGCTGTGGCGTACTGTTACTGAGCATGGGCTTTCTTCACCGTATTTTGCAAGTCTGTTATCTTCTGTTTTTGATACCTATGTTATGACTCCGCATGATTTGAAGTGTTTGGCACAATTGCTCCTAACCCCGACATAGTACTCCCTATGGGAGTCACACTGGCAGGGGGGACTCCAAAAACTTCTTACGACTTATGCGGGTCACAGCAACGCTGCCATAGCTGCACTGACTATAGAACACCTTACTGGCACAGGTCAGCACTCTGATCTGGTGGCTCAAGCCCGGGATATCCCACGGGAAGCTCTTGAGGCGACTCATGAGGAAGCGAAAAAAGCCCTTCCTAAGGTCCCTGATTCACAAAAACCGCAAAAAAACTTTACTATGATTACCCAGGACTCCTGGGAACCTTATATGCAGTTTATTGATAGGCTGAAGCAAGCTCTGGAGGGTCAGATAGACAATGCGGAAGCGCGGGAGATTTTGTTAAAATTGGCTGTAGAAAATGCTAATGTAGATTGCAAAAAATTGCTCAAGTCTCTCCCGAACCCCACACTAGTGGAAATTGTGGAAGCTTGTAATAGACTTGGCACTATGGATCATAAGTATGAAGCCATGGCTGCCGCTTTCGCGGCCATGCAAAGCCCCGTGAGGCCTGGAAATTGTTATGGTTGAGGTAAACCTGGCCATCTGAAAAAGAATTGTTTGACTATTAATGCTAGTGCCAGGTCCCAGGCCCCTGGGATTTGTCCTAGATGCCGAAAAGGGCGCCATTATGCTAATCAATGTCAGTCCAGGTATAATTTTCAGAGCCAGCCGATGCAGGGAAACTGATCGCGGAGTGCGGGGCAGCGAAGCGCACAGACACAAGTGCCGCGGCCAACTGTCCAGAGGAAGAGGCAGGAGCCCAGGGCCAGAAGCCAGGAGAGCGAATCCTTCATCCTCTCCTCTGCCTGCCTCCTACAGCCATGAGAAAGCGATGCCTCCTCCTCCTCCCTGGCACAGGGAAGCAGTGGAAGCGGCAGCAAGCAAGGTCGCTTCCCCTCCTTTCCCCCACTCCTGCACAGAGCAAAAGTTGCTCAGTTATTTTACTCCAAGGTTAGCCCGCTGGCAGCAGCTGAGCAGTCCTGAGGCAGGGTGGGGCGAAACGTTTGAGTCTATGGACATTTTGCAAACTGTGTAACTTGTAATGGTGATTCACTGTTTTTGAATGTTTTCACATGTAATTAATATTGTTTCTGTTAGCATAAGTTGCAGGACTGATTAACTGACAAGAAGGAGGCTGCTTGAAGGAAGTAGCTGATCCTTGGTGTTACGCTTTTCTCAACGAACTCTTATATTTCTTAAAGCATCACCAATGCTGCTTACTTTATAACGCCTATCAGGTGTCCTACAACGTTGCCCGGTCCTCTGATGGAAGGAAATCAGCATGCTGACAGCCTCGCTGGGGTGGCCACCCTTCCAGACGTATTCCAGCAGGTGCGATTGTCTCAGATCTTCCTTCCCAGAGTGCTTACACTTTGTGCCACTATACTTGAGGCCCTGTCAAGGTTGGTCGAGTCCTGGCAGACTCAACCAACCTTGACAGGGCCTCAAGTATAGTGCCGCTGTTGGAGCAAGATGTGCTGGAACTTGTCAGCCACAAGCCCTGGGAAAGACAAGATAAGGCTGGGTCATCCTGACCAAAGGGAGCTGTAGAAGGGAGTATTGTTTCAAGGCTGTAGATAAACTTAGTCTGCTTTAGGTCTGTCGATAAGACTTAATTTGTTACTCAGTATTTTTTTATAACCTGCTTGTAGCTGCTTTTGTATTTAACCAATCAAGGAGTGCCTGATTTGAAGAAGCATCCAATCCGCATAAGACACTCTACCTTCTGATCTATATAAACGTGTGTGTAACAACAATAAAATCGACACTTTGCTTGCATCAAGCTATGTCCCGTCTCTCAATCGTGGCACTCTGGTCCAGCCAGCACAAGAGTGGCTTCTGGTCGTGGGGAGGATCTACACATGGGGAAGGATCTGTAGCTTCAGGCCCTCTCCCAACTGCCTGGAAATCTCTGTGGTATCTGGCTGCACACCTCCAGAGCTGAGAGGGGCTGTGCAGGCTGCTCTTTCCAAGACACCATCCTGTCATGGATTCAAGGATAATCTGAAAGACTTGATAGGCTGAAGCATTTTGAGGCAGCAGCTACTGCACAGACCAACTAGTCTGAGACCTCAAGCAGCAAGACTCCTGATGCCCTGAGCTGTTTCGGCTGAGGAAATGGCACACAGGACTTTCTGCAGAGACTGGCAGAGCCTCCAGGCACTACAGAGGGAGGACAACCCTTGCTTTCCCTGTCCCCATCCCTATGCTGTGTGCCCATGTCTATGAAAAGAGACGTAGAGCTTGAGTGCTCTGGTGCTCTCTGTATTCTCACAAAGCAATGGCACTCTCAGAGCTGATTTCCTAATGCCACTCAGGGGCAGTCTGTCCCCATCGTCTTGCTTGGGTTTGTCACAGGACAAGTTTCCAAATCAGCTAGATCAATTGCTCAATACAAGGAACTAAGAGCCATGCTGTGGTGCCTGGCTGCAGTGCTGCGTCTGAGGAAATATTGACAGCACAGGCAAGCAGCAGTGTTGAGTCAACCTGCCTGGGATGTGGAGACATGGGAGAGGAATATTTGGGGTTAAGAGGGTGAGGAAAGCCCTCCAGTGCAGAAGACCACACCAGTGAAGGAAGTAGCTGTGGAGGTGGTTAGAAGACCACCATCTGCAGAGTGGGGAGATAGGGCAAATTGCCAGATAAAACACACTATGGTGCAAAGCAGGTCATGACCAGAACGGCAAAGATTTGGAAAAACTGAGCAGGAGCATGGTCTGTGTGGTGGATGAGGACTTGGGAGTCATCTACTCCTTTTTTCACACCGTGAGGCTAAATGAAGTGGGTCAGCAATAGAAGAGCCCTGGCCGAAGGCAGGAGCACTTGTCAGAGGCCTGTCTGATGTTGAAACTGGGCAAGCATATGAATGAGGAAGCTGTGAGCAGCCTGTGAGCATCTCTGAGATAGGATCAGAAGGCACCTCCTTAGGCTGTCCGGCGAAGTCTGCTAAATATCCTAACACAGCACAGGAGGTCCCAGCCACGCATCCCATCTGCCACTCCATGTGTCAGCAGGGAAAAGGGTCCAGATGAGAGCTTAAAGGGTTTGCTGTGACAAGGGAAGGGCTGAGGGTAATGCAAGAGAAAAAAAATCTTGAGGAACAATCCTATCTACACTGTCCATGAAAATATCACTGAAAATCTGGTGGGGAACTACATGAGAACATGCCCACATGCAGCAAGAGCCTCCTCCAGAAATCAACCTGCATCACATCATGCAGGCAATAAGCAACCAGTGACAGCAGCTGCAGTCAGGTAAGGAGCTGGCAAAACCTCGCTTTGTTCTTTTACTCTCCTGTAATTCCACCAAAATTTTCCCCTTTCCATTTAAAAGAAAGCTGTGTTGCTTTCCTTCTTTCCTCCTTCTTCAGCAATAGCCCATGGCTGTATGAGAAAAATGCTGGAAGGACTGTGGAAGACCCAGTCTTTTCTGGGGGTGACATCTTAATTATAGCAATGAGTCGATGAGAAGGCTAAGAACAATCACAAGAGGTGCTTTCAGGGAGAGCGCATTTGGGGTTAAAACAGGACAGGAAAGGCACACTCAGTAGTACATCACCATAGCTGCTCAAATCTGTTTATTCATTATAGACCACTATTTCCACTGGTCAGATGCTTGGCACACAATTTCCCCCTTGCCCTCTCTGCAGTTCATCTTCAGGAAGTGGAAGAACCACATGACACTGCCACCATGGGAGGACTGCTTGGAGATGGTGCAGGAGCTGTACTCCAACTGCCATGTCATCAAGGGCTCCAGAGTTGGGGGACCAGCAGAGAGGATGGGGCATCTCGTGTGACCAGAAATTTGGTTTGGGGGCAAGGTTCATTAAGATAAGAGCCTGAGAGAAAAACCTGCCTGGAGTTCCTATTTCAATGTATTTTGACAGTGAAATAACAGTGAAACACTGAAAACAGTGTCTAGACAACAAACTGTACGGGAGTTTACAATTATTTCCCTTCTATCCATAGCACAGAGTTCCAGTCATGCTATTTCACAGTCCATGTCCAAGACAAAAAGTGTAACAATGCTGCTCGGTCCTTCTTGTCTGCAAAGAGGAATCACTCCTCCGCCAAGCTGCGGCCCCTCTCCTCACTCTCCAAAATTCCACAGCACATTGATTCCGGAGACACCAAGACTGATGTGTCTGCAAAAAGAACCCTGGAGTCACAAACTAGCAGGATCTAGGTACAAGAAAAACTTCTTCATCTCCAACTGGCACAATACCCAAGACGAATCCAAAATGTGTTCGAGTATATTCGAGCGCACCCAACTTGCACAGTTCTGCAAAAAGGCTGCCATTAGTTAAAACGCAAAGAGGATTTTAATTCCATTACCATTGTCCCACTCTGGCAACATCATAGCATTTCAGTACCAAAACCTGCTGCTCAGCTCTTGCCAGCAGTGCGACAGGACCCACTGAGCGACGCTTACCCAAGAATGCCCAGTTCTTTGGTCTTTATGGTGTACAGTAACATAAGCAATGTGTGGACCATGTTGCTTCTGCCCTCGATCCATGAGAAGGAATTGAGATCAGGGACATGCAGTCACATCACTATCTTATAGAGAACACCATGTTTAAAGCAAGTCACATCCTCTCCTTACCTTAGATAGAGCTGGACAATTTTTCCTTCCAATCATTTTGTAAGATACATAGGCAGTTGGGTGTGCACCATGCTGGTTCATAAATAATCTAAGATGAGGAAAAACTATAAGAGAGACCTGGAATTACAGCCTGGGTGCTTGCTTCAATACTTACATCTCAATTAGCCAAGGAAATTAGAGAAATTGGAGGAATTAAGGAAATTGGAGACCAAGTCACAACTAAGGCCAATACAAGATCAAAACATGCAGAGAAAAATCTCGTACTTTGGTATTGAGACTAGATGATTCCCTCTACAAACTCCTCTAGGCAAGCATCAGGCTTATTGGCATTGAGGAAAAACAGCTCCCATCAGATTTTATAGAAATCAGGATTTTAGCAGAAGTCAAATACACAAAAATCTACTTTCTGAACCAAGCTAGCCTACATATAAATTTTCCACAGAGGTGGCTAGTTACAAAAATAAATAAATAAATAAATGCAATTTAAATCAGATTTCCTGAAGATTTTCTGACAACAGAACAAACCTAACATGCTCCTGCCTTGGGCAGGTTGTAGATGTGGTCATGGCAGATCAACTCACAGTGGAATGGGTTGATGCTGCCCTGGTAGATGGAAAATAGATTTTCATTTGTCTGTCTGTGAATCAAAGCTTTAAAAGAAAGAGGGATTTTAAGGGTATTGATGTGATGCAAGTGGTAAAGAGCAGCTAAAGAAGTAGCCCAAGAATGCCCGGACCTGGTTGATCCGGTGTCTGAATGAAGTGTTGGGAAGGGAAGGTTTTGGCATTGGGATATTTGGGGCTAAGATGGCAGTCTGGAGTCCAGGCAAGTGTGGAAGAGGTCCATAAGAATCTGTCCAAACAAAGCCAAGGCTCGCTTTATTGGCATGAAAAAGACTGAGGAACAAGGGGCTACCATACACCAGCCATCTTTCCATAATCTCAGACATGAGATCATATATCTCAGATGCAATCAACCAGGTCACTGATTTAAAGCTGTGGTGGTTTTGGTGGTGGATTTTTTTTTTTTCCTTTCCGTAAATATAAGCAAAGAGTGACAGCATCAAGATTGCTTTCCACTCTCTGGGTTATCTTGTGGCCTCTCTTTTAGTTATTTGTGTTATTCCTTGCACAATTTCAAAAACTACTCTGGGATTATGAGAATAAGCGAGGCAAATGGGATTTGGACTTTTTTTCTGCCATCCACAAAACCGATGCCCAAAGCCCAGCTTTAGAAAGTTTCCCCAGGGCCTCTTGGAAAACTTGCAGTGCAGTCACTGGGCAAGTCAGCACTTCACTGCTGGCCATAGAAATCTCCTTCTCTGCTCCACTGGAAGGCACTTGTGGACCCTCCACAGGAGAGCTCTGGAAACAATAACATTTATTCAGCTAGTGGTGGTGCTGGAAGATGCAAGAAAGACTTATTTTGCACTAACTTGGAGAAGCCAACACCTCAACGTGCATTTCCAGCGCACCGGATAGGAAGAATTCAACTCATTAAATACTTGTCAATATTATATACTTATGGGAGTTAAGTTTACAGGGTCATTTTTATTTGTAATTAGCAAAGGGATTGGATATGACACTTCTTGCCCCAGTCTTAGTGAAATGAGGGCAGTATCAGCACATCTTCATCAAGAATTACAGAAATCTCAGAAATAACCTGTCCAGGAGAAGAGAATGCAACCTCACAGCTACTCCTATCATCCTATCTCCAGTCTGCACTTCAGGGTACACCATTCTTCCCAGCTGAGTGCTCACACACCCCATCTCCTGTGCAAGGGGCACTAAAATTGTCACACTAATCCACCAGGAAGGAGAAATGTTAGAAGTGACAAGATGCTCAGGGATCTGGTACAGAGCAGACAGGATCCCATATCTCATAAAAATCTTTACTTTCCACTCACCTCGCTTCTTAAGAAAAAAAAAAGGCATGCAAAAGCATCATCCATCATGATCCATGATGCATTCGTCTCCATTCAAAGGCGGGTGAACATTACAACTGTAAAGGTTTCAGAACACCGAAATAACTTCAGATAACTTCAGCTTCAGATAAAACATTTCACAAGAACTGACCACAATGACAGAAAGGTTTCCTGCTGCCCCCTGTGGCTCACACAGTGGGCATCACTTTATTGCAAAGCAAGAAAACCCACAATTCTTGTGGGAGCTACTTTTTTTCTGCATTAGATACAGGTATCCTGCTCTCTGAGGTAGAAATCCATTTACAATTCCAATTCATAATGTGAAACAGATGCTTCCAATGACAAAGAGTCTTTGCAAGCTACATAAATAGGCTTAAATGCTTGGAGATTTCTCTCCCTCTTTCTAACGTACTTGAGGGAGCTCATGGGTAACCCCCTGCATAGAGCTTCATGTTGCTGCTGAACTTACTTCTTCTGCAGCTTTTGGAAAGTTCAGATGACCTTCACCTTTTTGGGTCTGCAAGCCACCTGATACTGAAACCTTTTCAGCATCTTTGTATACCCTATGAAGGAATGACTGTAAACTGAATTTGCTGAAAAATTCTTACAGTTAGAAGGACAATAATCAGGCAGTAGTGCAGGCAATATCTCTATAGATTCAATTTTGACTGGAGAGACAATTAACATGCTTATTAGCTATGGCGATGGAGGAGAATTTCCAAAAGTTGCTGAGGCACAGAGATGTGTAGAAATCACAAAATTTTGCCTCTTGTCTTAATTACTTGATAGAAGACTAAAGTGGTCAGCAGACCCCTTTACCATATTCACAAGGGATTGCCAGACATGTGAGTTAGTTTTAGTTACTAGGACTTCAGCAGCTCGCTGTTATGGCTGGAATCCTTTCTAGCTATTCCCATCCACAGAAACAATTCTCTAGTAAAAGCTACATCCTCTCCTCACCCATCTTTTTTGGGCCAAGCAAAGGGATTTATTTACCGAGCTGATGTCTATGCTCTTTCTCTTCTTTGCTTTGAAGGTATTTTTGCAGCAACTTGAGGTCTATGATTTTGTCACCTTGACTCACGCAGGAGTTATGCAGAGTTGGTGAAGAGCAGTAATGGCACCTTGGCCCACTTTTCACTGGTCCAACACTTGCAGGAGATGGGGAACCCGTAGGAGAAGAGCTGAAGCTGGAAAACTTGGAGGAACAAAAGCGAACAGTTGTGTCATCTGGAGAAGGTAAGACTTCCAATTTCCTTTTAGAAACTGAAGATATCAATGGATTCAACAAATGAATTTACTGCTCTGCAGATTCCCACTCTAGAGCCTAGTCTGATTTGGCAAAAATTTATTTTACTCTTTTGTACTGATATTTGCATTTCTCATTTTTGCTTTTGTCTGAAACTAACTCCTCTTAAAAAAAAAACACACTAAAACACTACGGAAAAGATGAATTCTGACAAGACAAATCTGCCAAAGCAGCAACCACCTGCCATGCACCTCCCCTAGAACCACCTGCCATGCACCTCCACTAGCTTATAGAGTTACACGAGGACACAAGAAGCAAATCCAAAGCACTCCCTCAGAGCCATTGCAGTTTGGTTGTAGCTGCTGCTCGGTGAGTAGCTTAAAACTCTGCTGGAAGAAAGCCTGCTGCTTAACAGAGCTTGCAGCTGAGGACTGTAGCCTGGGATACAATCCGAGGCAAATGTGGCACTGGCCTGGAGGGAGTGGCTTGGGATGTAACTCAGCATGCTCTGACCCTGCAGTGCAGGAGAACGTCCAGAAGGTGGCACTTTCTTTGTTGCCAGCTTGTGTGCGGGAGCTGTTGGTACCACTGCAAGAAGCAGAAAAATACAATTAACAGTGCAGATGCAGCAGCCTCAAACTCTTCTCCTTCTTTGGAATGCACAGCAAAACACACACACACAGATTTCTTTTAATGACATTCAGTGATGCTCAAAACCCTTTTTCCAGGTCCATGGGGAGGTCACAAATCCCGTACCGAGCTTCAAGTGAGTCTCTCGGAATGTTGTTTAAAAACTCGCCATCCACTCCCTTTTTATGACTTCTTCCCTCATCAGTTCTCCCCTCAGTCCTTCACCAATATAGCATTTCTACTTTGAATTTTAATATGCTGCAGGGAATTCATCTTAATGTTATGTTCAGGCAAAGGAGCTGAGAACTGCACTTGACAAAGATACCAACTTAAAAGAAGAGACATAAATAGGCATTTAGAACCCCTACCCACATTGTGCTCCCTAGAAGGATCCATGAGCCATGACTAGATTATTGGTGCCAGCATGTATTTGAAATACAACCAAAAATCAAATAGGGCATTCAGAATGTGATATGCAATTCAGATGGTGACGTGCAATGCTTTGTTTCTACGTATCTGCATGGAAGAGTTTAGAAGTATTGGGAGAAGAAGAGATGGTAGAGGGCTGCTTGGAGTGACACTGTAAAGGGCATGGCAAAAGAAGTGTGAGGCTTTGTCCTTCAGCTATTGTTTGCTTGGGGTCAGAAACAGGGTTGTTGGTAAGAGAAATTTTCCTGGCTTAGTCTTCCACTTCAGGGTTAGTGCAAGGATGACATTAGGAGAGTGAAGAAGCACAGGGCCTCACTTGCAGGGAGGCTGCATAGGGCATGCCAAAAGAAGTGCAGAACTCTGTGAACGCTCATCCCTGAGTGGATGTCTCCACTCTTGTGGAGTCTGCTCCATGCTGGATTCTCTTGTGTAGAGCTGCTTAGTATAGTGGAGTTCAGGCAGTATTGTGTTAATGAAAAGCATTCTGAGACGGAGGAAGCGCAGAGAACTACTTGGAGTGAGGCTGCAAAGGGTATGGTAAAGGAAGTGCAGGGATGCATCTGCACTCAAGCCATTACCCCATTCATATTTGGGCTTCAGATGGGTTTTGTGATAGAAGGTCTTGTCTATACCTGCTGCTAGTATCGTGCTTTGCAATTAGGGGAAGGAAGAAGCATAGGTGAGAGCTTGTGCAGAGGAAGTGTGGGGCTGTGCCAGAACTCATCCTGGAACAGTTTCTGAGTCAGCAGCACATTGTGATGTGCAATGCTTTGTTTCTGTATATTTACATGAAAGAGTTTGGAAGTGATTTGCATTGGGAGAGGGTGAAATGGTACAGGGCTACTTGGAGTGAAACTGTAAAGGGCATGGCAAAAGAAGTGTGAGGCTGTGCCAAGACTCATCCTTCGGCTAATTTGTGTTTGGGGTCAGTAAAAGGTTTAGTGGTAATGGACATTTGCCTACCTTAGTCTTCCAATTCAGGATTTGTGCGAGGATGGCATGAGGAGACGGAAGAAGTGCACGGCTTCACTTACAGTGAGCAAGAGATAATCACTTCTTAAGTCCTCCATGCATATACATAGAAACAAAGAATTGCACATCACAATGTGGTGCTGACCCAAAATGCATAACTGGGTTGAATGTAGGCAGAGCTCCACACTTTCTCTCCTATGCCCTTTACAGACTCACTCCTAGCACACACCTACGCTTCCTGCTTCTCTTAACTGCAAACCAGTATACTAACAACAGGTATAGAGAAGCCCTTCTATCACACAACACATTTGAGGGGGAAATCTGAAAGAGCTCATAGAATGAGTGCAGATACAATCCTGCACTTCTTTTGCCATATCCTTTGCAGCCTCACTCCAGTAGGTTTCTGCGCTTACTCTGTCTCCCAATGCCTCCCATTAACACAGCACTAAAAGTGTTCCCTGTGGCATGCTCTGTGCAGCCTCACTGCAAGTGGAGCCCTGCCCTTCTTCTGTCTCCTAATGCCATCCTAGCACAAATCCTGAAGGCGAAGACTAAGGCAGTCAAATATCTATTACCACCAACTCTGATTTTGACCCCAAGCAAAAAGTAGCTGAGTCGTGGCAATGCACATCTGCCATTTACCGGCTCACTTCAAACTGCCAAATGCCATTTACATGCTCACTTCAAACTGTATTCTACCATCTCTCCCTCTCCCAGTGCAAAACACTTACGAACTCTTCCATGCAGGTACGGGGAAAAGAAGCATTGCACATCACAATGTAATGCTAACCAAGAAAGCTTCGCCGGGATGAGTGATGGCACTGCCCTGAACTTCCCCGGCTATGTTCTTTGAGGCCTCACTCCTACCACACAACTATGCTTCTTCCTTCTCCTAATTGCCAATGAGCATATTATTGACACATATAGACAAAACCTTCCATCACACAACCTATTTGAGGGGGAACTCTGAAACAGATCATGGAATGAGTGAAGTTACAACCTTGCACTTCCCTAGGCACACCGTTTGAAGCCTCGCTCCAAGGGGGCCTAGGCGCTTTCTCAGTCTCCCAATGCTTCCCAATAACATGACACTGCCTGAACTCCACTATACTCATCAGCTCTACACAAGAGAATCCAGTATGGAGCAGACTCCACAAGTTGTACAGGGATGAGCGTTCGCAGAGCCCTCACTCCAAGTGGAGTCACTGCAGTGCAGTGGAGGCTGCACTCGAAGTGCAGCCTCACTGCAAGTGGAGCCCTGAGCTTCTTCCCTTTCCTAATACCATCCTAGCACTAATCCTGAAGTGGAAGACTACGGCAGATAAATGCCTCCCCACCAAACCCCACAGTTTTGGTGTCCCTTCAGCAAAAAGCAGCTGAAGGAGGAGTTGTGGCAAAGCCTCACTCTTCTTTTGCCATGCCCTTTACAGTCACGCTCCAAACAGCCCGCTACCATCTCTCCCTCTACCAAGGTAAAACACTTCCAAACTATTCCATGCAGACACGTAGAAACGAAGCATTGCACATCACAATGTAGTGCTGACCCAGAAAGCTTCCTGATGATGACCCCTGCACCAGGCCTGCCCTTCTTCTGCTATGCTTTTTGCAGCCTCACTCGAAGTGCACACCTACGCTTCCTCCTTCTCCTAAGTGCCAGCCGCATACTAGCAGAACATGTAGACAAGACCTTCTACAACACAACCCATTTGAGGCTGAAAATGAAATAACTCAAGGAATGAGTGCAGATACAACCCCGCACTTCCTTTTGCATACCCTTTGCAGCCTCACTCCAAGTTGGCCTCTGCGCTTCCTCCATCTCCCAATGCTTCCCATTAAAAATCACTGCCAGAACTCCTCTTTACTAATCAGTCAGAAACAGGATAATCCAATATGGAGCAGTCTCCAGATGTTGCCCAGGGATGAGCATTCACAGAGTCCTCCACTTCTTTTGGAATGCCCTATGCAGATTCAGACCAAGTGGAGTCCTACACTTCTTCCCTCTCCTAATGCCATCATAGCACTAATCCTGAATCCTAACACTAAACCTGTGCTCACTTCGGAAGCCCATATACTAAAATAGGAATGATACAGAGAAGATTATTATGGCCCCTGCAAAGTGACCACGAGATGTTGAATCGTGAGATCCTGTGTGGAAGAAGCTGGGCAAGAAGTAGGATAGCTACCCTGGACTTCAAGAGAGCCAACTTTGACCTCTTCAGGGAGCTCCTTGGAGCAGTCCCCTGAGTCAGGGTCCTAGAAGGAAAGGGAGTGCAGGAGAGCTGGCTGATATTAAAGCACTACTTCCTTCAATCTCAGAATCAGTGCATTCCCACAAAAAAAGAAATCAAGTAAGTGGGTCAGGAGACCTGTATGAATTGGCAAGAACCTGCTAGTCAAAGTTAATGAAAAAAAAGAGCGTACACCTTGTGGAAGAAGGGCCAGACCACGTGGGAAGAATATAGGTGCATTGTCAGAGAATGCAGATGCGCAACGAGGAATTCCAAGGCCCGTGTGGAATTAGAGTTGGCGAGGACAATAGGAAGAATTTCCATAAATAAGTCAGCAGCAAGAGGAAAACTAGGGAAAATGTTAGTGTGCTGCTGAATGGGGAGGGGGTGTAAGAGACAGTTTTAAGAGACAGTTTTGGACTGTGTTTATTTCGACATTGTTGCCTTGTTGCTCCACCATTTACCTTGGAAGACCGGGACATCAGCTCAAGACCCAAACAATGGCATTCTTGGATGATGTGCTTATCTCAGCACTGTTGCCCCACCATTCATACTTCTTGAATGCCACATTTCTTGACTGCAGCATCCTGTCTCCAGGGAGAGTGTGATATCATCTTGAGAATCTATGACTCTTTGGGCTAACAATGCCCAGCAGTGCCTGACAAGCAGCAGGGCACTCAAGCTGGGGGGAAGAGGAGCAGCAGAGCATATGACACATACAACACATGACAGAAATCTTCAGGTGGGCAGACTCTTCAAGAACTGGGACAAAAAAAAAGGACTACGATTTTCTCCATGAAGAGAGGCCTCCTTCCTCCTCACCTGCACTGAGCGACTTCTTCACCTGCACACTGAATGAACGGCTTCTTCTTGGTCTTCTTCTAAACTCTCTCAAGAGAGGCCACACTGAGAGCGGCCTCTTCTTCTTTGAGAGACCATCATCTGCACCAAGGTGGAACTGACAAAATGTAGCTGGACTGGTGGTGGTGGTAATTATAATCTTGCTGCATCTCTCTCTCCTGCTCGCTTGCTTATCCTTCTTTTTCCCTTTGCTCTTCTTCTCCTTGCCCTTCTTCTCTTTCTATTATTTTGATTATGAGAATAGAGCTTACAAGTTTGCATAGCATTTGATCTCATTTGTGTCTTAATCTCGCTCTTCGGGTCATGTTGAAACCTCCTCCGACAGTGGATCAGGACAGGGGGCTTTGGTGACGGAGGATGCAAAGAAGGTAGAGTTACTAAATGCCTTCTTTGCTTCTGTCTTTACTGCTAAGGCCACTCCCCATGAACTGCAGGGCTCAGGTGAAAAAGAGATAAATGGGCAAGAGGAAAACCTTCCACTGGTTGAGAAGGATTGGGTTAGGGATTGCTTAGGCAAACTGGCCACCCAAAAATCTATGGGCCCCGATGGGATGCACCCAAGAGTGCTGAGGGAATTGGTGGAGGTTATTGCTCAGCCACTCTCCGTCATCTTCAAGAGGTCATGGAGAGCAGGGGAGGTGCTGGAGGACTGGGAGAGAGCCAACATCACTCCAGTCTTCAAAAAGGGCAAGAGGGAACTGGGCAACTATAGACTGATCAGCCTCACCTCCGTCCCTGGTAAGGTGATGGAGCAGCTCATCCTAGAGGGCATCTCTAGGCATACGAAGGAGAAGAAGGTGTTGAGGTGTAGTCAGCATGGATTCCCCAAGGGGAAGTCATGTCTGACAAACCTTATAGCCTTCTATAATGGGATGACTGGCTGGCTGGACAAGGGGAGAGCCGTATATGTTGTCTGCCTTGACTTCAGCAAGACTTTTGACATCGTCTCCCATGATATCCTCATACGGAAGATCCGGGAGAGTGGTCTGGATGAGTGCACAGTGAGGTGGATCGAGAACTGGCTGGATGGTAGAGCTCAGAGGGTGGTAATAAACGGGGCCGAGTACAATTGCATGCCTGTGGGCAGTGGTGTCCCCCAGGGGTCAGTACTGGGCGCAGTGCTCCAGAAGCCTGTGCTGCCACCCAGAGGGAGCTGGACAGGCTGGAAAATTGCCCAGAAAGGAACCTCATGGGGTTCAACAAGGACAAGTGCAGGGTCCTGCACTTGGGCAGGAATAATCCCTGGTATCAGTATAGATTAGAGGTTGACCTGCTGAAAAGTAGCTCCACRGAGAGGGACCTGGGAGTCCTGGTCCAAGCTAACCAGGAGTGAACAGCATGCCCTCGTAGTCAAGAAGGTCAAGGGGATCCTGGTCTGCATCAGGAGGAGTGTTGCCAGCAGGTTAAGGGAGGTGATCCTGCCCCTCTACTCAGCTCTGGTGAGGCTGTACCTGGAGTATTGGGGGCAGTTCTGGGTTCCCCAGTATAAGAGGGACATGGTGCTTCTAGAGAGGGTCCAGCAGAGAGTGACAAAGATGATTAAGGGAATGGAACATCTCTCGTATGAGGAGAGACTGAGTGAGTCGGCCCTGTTTAGCTTGGAGAAGAGAAGGCTGAACGGGGATCTGATTAACATGTCTAAGTACACGAAGGGTGACTATAGGGAGGAAGAGGCCAAGCTCTTCTCTGTGGTGGCCAGTGAAAGAACAAGGGGCAATGGGTATAAATTGAAACACAGGAAGTTCCATCTCCATGTGAGGAGGAACTTCTTTACTGTGAGGGTGACAGAGCCCTGGAACAGGCTGCCCAGGGAGGTTGTGAAGTCTCCTTCTCTAGAGGTCTTCAAAACCCACCTACATGCCACCCCGTGCCACATGCCCTAGGTGTCCCTGCTCGAGCTAGAAGGCTGGACTAGATGAACTCTAGAGGTGCCTTCCAACCTCGAGCATTCTTTGTTTGTGTGATTCTAAAGTGGAAGACTACGGCAGGCAAATGTCTCTGACCAACAACCATATTTGTGTCCCAAAACAAAAAGTAGCTGAAGGAAGAGTCTTCCTAAAGCCTCGCACATATTTTGCCCTGCCTGTGAAGTCTGACTATAATCAGATACTTACTATCTGAAACTCTCTCAATGGAAATCACTTCTCAACATTTCCATGCAGATAAGTAAAAATGAAACATTGCAAATCACAATGTGGTTTTTAACAAGAAAATTTCCTCCAAATGTGCGTTAGTATAGCCTCGCACTTTGTCTCCTATGACCTTTGCAGCCAGACTCAACTAGCACACATAGGTATCCTCTTTCTCTTAATTGCAAACAAGCATACTAGCGGAACATATAGACAACACCTTCTAAAACACAAAAAAATTGGGCCAAAATTCAGATAGATCATAGAAAGAGTGCGGATAAAATACCACACTCCTTTTGCCATAACCTTTGAAGCCTCACTACAAAGAGTTCTCTGCGCTTCCTCCATCTCCCAATATGTCAAATTAAGACAAAACTGCCTGATCTCGACTATACTAAGCAGATCTACATAAGGGAAAGCAGTAAGGAGCAGAATGCAGAGGTTGCGCAGGGCTGAGCATTCGCAGAGTCTTGCACTAATTTTCGAATGCCCTATGCGGCCTCACTGCAAGTGCAGCCCTGTGCTTCATCCCACGACAATATGCTATCCTACCTCCAATCCTGAACTGGAAGACTACGGCAGGCAAATGTGTCTTACCAAAATATCCATTTCTATGTGAAAGCAAACAACAGGTGAAGGATAACTGGTGGCAAAGCCTCAGGCTTCTTTTGACATGAACTTTAAAGTCCCCTGCCAAGGAGCCCTCTTCCATCTCTCCCTCTCTCCATGCAAAAAGCTTAAAACTTCTTCCATGCACACAGGCACAAAGGAAGCATTCCACATCACAAAGTGCTCAGGACGCAGAAAGCTTCCTTGGGAAGAGCCCTGTATCAAGCCTGCCCTTCCTCTCCTATGCATTTTGCAGCCTCACCTCAAGCACACACCTAAGCTTTCTCCTTCTCTTCTCTGCCAACCGGCACACTTAGCAGCACTTACACACAAGTCCTTCTAAAACAAAAGCAATTCGAGCCCGAAATTGAAATAGCTCACGCAAAGAGTGCACATACAAGCCCAAACTTCTTTTGCCATATCCTTGTCAGCCTCGTTAGCAAGGGGTCCTGTGCGCATCTTAAATTTCCCACTGCTCCCTGTTAGCACAACACTGCCTTAATTACGCTCCACGAAGCTCGTGCACACAAGAGAAGGCAGGATGGAGCACACTGCAGAGGTTGTGCAGGGATGAGCGTTCGCAGAGCCCTGCACTTCTTTTGGCATGCC